TCATCTTATCCAGCTATAGAATCAACTCGGTTTACGCTTCATGTTTTTGGAATTACTGACGCTGTATCCCGTTGCCTCGCTGGTGTAGGTATAGTATTAAGTCATATTGCAGAACTAGCTATCATAGACTGGATCACGGCAGACAGTCCCTTATGCGCAATCCGACTAAACGGGACATTAAGGACTCATAAAACACAAACACACATTCAAGTGTCTGGCAACAGTTTCATTCCTCGACCTTAATGCAGCATTCGACCCTGTTGGTTGTGAGGTCGTGTCACAGTGTTGGTCATTGAAAGGTGTACCAAAGAAATACGTGAACCTTATGCAACCTCTCTACTCGAACACCACTGGTCGATTGGGAGATTACGGCGAACTGTCATGGTGTCCGTCAGGGCTGTTCACTTTCTCCATTCTTGTTTACCTTTGCCATTGAAATGCTTTTAGATACGTCACTTTCATCGTCTAACTTTACAGGAGTTGGACAACTACCCGGGGATTCACTTGTTGACATAGAATATGCCGATGACAATGTTCTATTTGGCGAAGACGCTGGAGAAATGCAGTCTTTGACCACCTTGGGCATGTTCGGGATGCAATTCTCTCCCTCGAAATGCAAAATGTTGCCTCTCGATTGGCCTGCGTCTGAACCTGAACAAGTGATAGGAAGTGGACCAGTTGACCGGGTTGACCACACCACTTATCTCGGGAGTCTCATCAGTGCCGATGCTCGTGTATCCTGGGATCTCCGAGTGAGCAGTGCTAGGGTTAGGAAACGCGTACTGGATTAAGGATGATAGTAGTGAATCTTCGTCAGTCGAGGTTGTTGGGATATGTGTTACGAATGACCAATCACCGACTGCCTCGTCCAGCCATGTTGTCTAATGTAGGGGTAGGTTGGAATAAAGCTAGAGGCGGTCAAACCAAAACATGTCACAAGTCAATCAATTCGCTGACAACTGGACTGAGACATGTCAGTGGGTCTGGACTAGCTGGTTGGAGTCCGCGAGACCTACTTCAGTTTCCAGGACTTTTATGAAATAGGTGCTTAACACCGGGAACAACACATTTAATTGGTAAACCTACTACAAAACAAATAATAACTCACTTGATCACATGGGATAGGTTGTTTAGATCCAAATACATTTTAACGACAGATTCCAAAACTGGATCTAAAAAGAAACTCTAATTATAGCAATGAAAATTCAAAAACAAAAATTACTCAATAGATATGTTCTTAGGAACGATAACTCAATGCTGCTGCACATTCGGCGAGCAGATGATGAGAAGTCTAAACCGAATTAACTCTGAACGTGCTTCAGATACTTTTGAGAAAACAAACAACCCTAAGATCCATTACGTACTTAAGTCAATGCCGAAATTTGTTGACTAAAGAGATGGACTGATAGAAAGACCTCTACACCTGAACCTATAGAAATCTAGGAACCATTAACTTTAGGAGATTCACTTCAACACAAAGCAGCCCATATGAAAACCAAATCGCCATTTTGGATTTTTGAAAGACATATGCAATTTAATTTGGTGATCATTAGTCGTTGAGTCTTACTGACACCTAAAAGGTTAATAAGTACCCACGCATTTTTTAATGTATAACGATCGTAAAATCGAACTTGGGATAATAAAACTAATTACTTCAGTAAATCATAGACACTTTCAGACTTATTGAACAAACCATTAATTCGATAGTAAAGGCTCTTTAAGTATAAACTAGGACAAACGAGTAAAAGTAAATTCAGGTTTGAATAAAGTCGCATAGATTAAAAAATCGTATGATAGTAAGATGTCTACACAGCATAACATCATCAGGTTAGCATATAATAATGCTCAAGTAAGTAATGCAGTCAGATACAAAGTAGGACTGCGTACGTACGTGCATCGGCTCCGGTTGACATACCACATTAGCACAGTGACGCAATCGTCAGTTCAAATCCCATTGTGGTAGAATGAGTAGAAGTATTAGCAGTATTCGTAGAAATTAGGGTTCGAAAATATAATTCAAATACAATTCACTAAGATAGATAGTTATCAAAAGCCAGTCGAGCATTCTATATTCGTGCTAAGATCTCGTCAGTCACCAGGCCATCGGCACTGATGAGACTCCCGAGATAAGTGGTGTGGTCAACCCGGTCAACTGGTCCACTTCCTATCACTTGTTCAGGTTCAGACGCAGGCCAATCGAGAGGCAACATTTTGCATTTCGAGGGAGAGAATTGCATCCCGAACATGCCCAAGGTGGTCAAAGACTGCATTTCTCCAGCGTCTTCGCCAAATAGAACATTGTCATCGGCATATTCTATGTCAACAAGTGAATCCCCGGGTAGTTGTCCAACTCCTGTAAAGTTAGACGATGAAAGTGACGTATCTAAAAGCATTTCAATGGCAAAGGTAAACAAGAATGGAGAAAGTGAACAGCCCTGACGGACACCATGACAGTTCGCCGTAATCTCCCAATCGACCAGTGGTGTTCGAGTAGAGAGGTTGCATAAGGTTCACGTATTTCTTTGGTACACCTTTCAATGACCAACACTGTGACACGACCTCACAACCAACAGGGTCGAATGCTGCATTAAGGTCGAGGAATGAAACTGTTGCCAGACACTTGAATGTGTGTTTGTGTTTTATGAGTCCTTAATGTCCCGTTTAGTCGGATTGCGCATAAGGGACTGTCTGCCGTGATCCAGTCTATGATAGCTAGTTCTGCAATATGACTTAATACTATACCTACACCAGCGAGGCAACGGGATACAGCGTCAGTAATTCCAAAAACATGAAGCGTAAACCGAGTTGATTCTATAGCTGGATAAGATGAAGTGAAATTAGTGATTATACTAGGATCCAGTATGAACATTTCGGAGATACAACACACAGCGATGGCGCTGGTTTCCAGAGTCCCAGCTAATGAAGCCTTTTGCAATAGTTAACACAAGATTCGAACAATAAGACCTGCAATATGTAGCTTAGAACGGTTTTCGTAGGCTTGAAACGTTTGCATTAGTTGCGGAGGTGATAAAGGGAACAAAAGAAGGGTTAGACGTGGAGATTATGGAGTTATTAGACGTATAGGGATTTGGTTGTTACCAATGTGATCCCGTGTGATTTTACGGGTATGAGGGCGGATGTTACTTATCGGCTGCTTACACTGTCGAAGGGTACTTTTTGAGGAACCTGAAAAAGAAATCAGGTCAGCATTTGTCTGAGCGACCTTGGTGCGTGATCGCATAGCATAAAGGAAGACTGCTTGAGTCCAGTCACGCATACTCTTTTTATGGCAGGTTGTTCAAGTGTCAGGTCCGCTCTTCAAGTGGTTTTACCTTCGTAGACGGAAATCCGTGATGCAAGCTAAGATGTGACATTCTCAGGATCAACCTTTTCTAACCACCTCCTTCTCTTTGAGAAGGCAGCATCACTGCAGATGATGGTTGTCCGAGCGAAGCATCTTACTGTTGCCACACCTCTCTGCAGACAGCAGTATGACGTCGCCCTCAAGCCCCGAGTTGCTGTTTTTAGTCTCACCGTTCTCCAATCTAACTGCCTGCCGTGGTAGAACCTAAAGGAACATATGTTCCAGCCAATATAGCACGGTTGAGGCATCACGATAGACAAGTATCATTACATTATCTGCTCAAATGAGTCGAAAGCATATACACAAAAAATATAATGTATACAATGGGGCATTTCGTATCGTAAAGAAAAATAAGAATATATGTTTAATAACGCGATCGTGATAAGTCATTGCTTACTAAATATTGAGGCTATTAAGCTGCTTTTTTCCTCGGTATTACGTATATGACTATAATGAGGTTTAACATTTAGGATTATTCTCATCTTCAAATAAATAAAGTATAGATAGATTACAGAATTAACTTGGTCAGCCACTGTGACGAATATTCACAGGTGAATTTCAAACTACTTATAAGTAATAATAATTTCTAATATCTATTTTGTTAACTGCTAACAGCCATTGAGAGCGCAACTTACCAAATACAGATGGTGCAACTCGTCTGGACAGTTCGTCTATATTATCGAAAGTAGCATCCAAAACCTAATTTTTAAAGCAAATTTGAAAAAGATAAGTTTTTCGAATTGATTACAAGGTTTGGACAGACACTAATATTATCACTACGTAAAGCCACTATTAAAACCACCTTTATACAGAGCCATAATTCAGCGCTTAAACCATACAACTTTCAAACATTATGTGGGAAGTTTGAGCCTCACTCCATCTACTTTTGTATGAGTTTTATCTCTTAATTTACTCTACATGAGCAGAGAATACGTCGTATGTCAACGGTGAAGGAATGAATTTTATTTTACCTACAACATACGGAAACACAGTTATACATAGGTTTGAATGTTGGTGATCATGACTTTGTGACATAAAAGACCCGGGAATATGGGAATCGCTAATTCCCCTACTAAATCCGTCTTTGCATTTGGATGTTAAGAAGTTTTCTCAACTAGAACGGTTAGTTCGCTAACAAACTAAAAGAAAATCTCTAACCCTTAACTAATTGAACATACGCAGAGAAGTTCAGGTAGAAGTACCAAATTCAGCTAAGAAAACGAAACTCTGACACAAGGTTGGTGATTTCAGAAGAAAATTCTCTGTGTAAATTCAGGACGATGAAACGCACAGCAGTAACTAAGAATACATTCAATTCCCGTCACAAGCCAGTTTCATAAATTTAGGTCACTGAATAAGTATGCGCATATGTTTATGTGTAGGCATATATTCGAATACGTCAGGATAAAAGGTGAATTTATTCTTAAGAGATACAAGGTGAATGGTTATCTGTAATTTACAGCATTACAAAAAGATAGCCACTCAAACAACTTACAATTAATTCATGAGTTATTATCAAAAGTACGAATTTAAATAAATTGGAATAAAATTACCAATTCGTGACGGATAAACAAAGAATTAACATATATCATGCAAAATAGAAGAAACAAAATATAACATTCAGTAATTGGCTCACCAAACCGGCTATATCAGGATAGTTCATAGCTATCCAAGATGCTGTATAGCCACCAATTGACCAACCAAGTACATATATTTGACTAGGTTGAAAATTTAATCGATGTACAGCAAATAAAAAGCATGCTTCAACAGCATTTTGTTCCTTTTCCGGGAATGGTAAACCCTTTAAAATAATGGTAAGACTTCAGTAAAAGAAAATGTCAAACAAAAATTAACAACCTTAGAGGGGAACACCATATTAAGGTTTCTTCAGCCTAGAAATAATTATCAAGACTACAATGTAGAAGAGAATTTTACCCAGCAAGTTAGGTTAAAAGCCAATTTAATGTTTAGAAATCAAAATAGTATCTTCAGTCGATTAATGACAAGTTAGTCAAAGCTTAGTTAGTACTGTTATGTCAGAAAGAATTTTATAGAAACGATAACTTCCGGGGTTAATTTACTGATTGTTATTATTCTCTTATTGTATGATTATTAGGTAACTAGATGACTATATATACAATATGGTGTGATGCGGTCTAGTTTACTTGTTTATAAACTACGTTTGCTCAAAATATAAAGTGGCATAGACTGATTCCTGACTTCTCAACTCAACTCAGAGAATAGCCAATAGGAATTCCGCTGCTGACTAAAGATTAATATTACTGGGAGGATGTGTCATTATTCAAATCAAAGACATAACACGGCTTACAGTAGCTAGGTTATTCTTATTATAGTAGTGTAACCAACATGAACGAAAAAGTATGAGTAATAGTGTTGATCCCAAAGACCTGGCAGGATGGACAACAAGTGAATGGCCATTGCAATTTATAAAAGAGTGGTAAATTAATTAACGAAACTATGAACCTCTACTAACCACGGTGACTATAACATGGATTACTCATTGAGTATATAACATGCAGCAACTTTTGATACCTAGTTTCAGTAATTCTTTGACTGTTTGCTCGTGGTTAAAAACTACTTCCAAACTAAATCAGTCTACACAACTAACAATGAATTTATATCACGTCTAACTGATGAAAAATATTATGCTTAGAGCATCAAATCATTCTTAATTAAGGAAAAGGATGATACTTTATGTCAGCTAACTATAGCTTTAATAACCTTATGACAGAATTTTAAACGAACAAATGTATGAGTCAGTTGAAAACAAGAGGATCAAGTTTGTAAGTTATGAACAATTTTACTTTAATTTGCCTTTGGACTGGGGACATTCACATAGTGATTTTGATATTTCAGTCAATTAGTTAAACGTGATCACGTGATTCATGTCAAGAGTTGAGAGGAAATAAATATCAAAACAAATTAAATATTACCGTGCTTTCCCCGAAACCAGGATGATTCCATCCCAAAACTGAATAACCTCGTTCAAGGGGGACCCAAGGAGTTCCAATCTCAGGATAACCACCATTACCTTCACAACAAAGTACCTGAAAAAAAATTTTAGGAGTAAATATAAGTATCAGCTAAGTCTAGATACACTTAAAAACTAAACCTAAACCGTATTAAAGACAAAACCACTCTACGCAAATGCAACATAAATATTACCACTGCTATAACTCAGACTATGACCACTGCAAATAGATGTAGCTGAAGAAAATGATGTTTACACAAGCTCAAGCTTTTGTGGTAAAATCTTCTATAGAATATTAGCCATCAAATTTAATAGAAATGTTGAGCCTGGAATTGACTATAGATTGTATACAAACCAAGAGATATCCTAAAAATATGAGAAGTCCTTACTCCGTAAAAAAGAAAGCTATCCCTATTTAAAAAACACTTAAAAGACATGCGTCACATGAAATATGCATTCTAAAAATGAACATCAGTGACTTGGAAAGAAATACTTCGTTAAAACCTACGATTGGAGATTAAGTCACAGTAAATGGATTACATCAAAATGATATACAAGAGTAGATATGAGCAAAGACAAAACTAGTAAAAGCCTTATAAAACAGAAAACCCAGAAATGGAATTTTCTTTGACCCGAAGCGATGCGTCCATAATTTTTCTAATATTGAACTAGATGTAGTACAGTTAGAAGCTTTATCCCTTAGGCCTAAAATGTGTGATAACAGTATAAAACCAACCAATCAGATACTGATTTACAGTTTGAGAATCTGTTTTCACAAACTACTGACTGGATCCAAACCGAACTGGAGGATATAGTTAGGCTTAAGACCACGTTAGTCGATTGCTGCCAACAATACACGAGTAGTAAGCGTATCACGAAATATCTACTATCCAAACAGCTCCAGAAAGCCTTAACAAAACTAAGAAAGGACAAAACCTTGATTATAAGCAGACCAAATAAGTGAGGTGCAGGTTTGATGAACAAAAAAGCATACATAGATAAAATGGACAGAACGTTTAGGGATTCTAGCAAATTCCAAAGAAATATCGTTGCCGTGGTATCAACCAGGATTTTATCGAGATTATCCCTTTAAGCAAAGTCCAGACTAAGGTTGTGATCTCAATACATAAAAGACACGTATATTCAGCAAAGAGCACACATTCATTCGTTTAAAAAACAAACTCACACACAAGTTTACGTTTTTGCGATTCATGTTGCATGTTTAATTCGGTTACTAAGAACGAAATATTGGGCAAGCAAGCTTGTCGTGTTTCTTTAAAATAACTTCATATCAGAACATTTTCGGAAAAACCAAAGAAATCTTTAGTGATCAATGGACTGATTTTAAATCACACATAACATTGTGGCAAGAAACACAAAAGATTTGAAGTAATAGCTAAAGCATTTATAAATTCTCCCGAATTTCTTTACTGGCATAAATAGGGAAACTATATCACACTTAAGTTACATAGATAGCATTGAATTATCTTGAAAGCAGGTCAACAAAGAGAAACGAAGCCACAACAACAAATTCTTAAATAATATGTGAAGATGAAATGTATGTGCAAAAGACTTAACACTTTTCTAGTACAATCAGATAACAGTTTAGTATCTCCAAACATGTAATAACTACTCTTTAAACAAACAAGAAACACGTATTTCGACGAAAGTAAGAAATAATTATCTAACTGAAAAAGCTCAAAACAATGTTTCAAAACCGCAAGAGTTTAAAACTTCCATTCTCTTATCATTGAATTAGCATTGGTGAAATACACTGAGAACCATAGTGGTTGTATTTAACTATACGACACAAAGTAAGCAGATTGAATTATGAGGTCAAGAGTTGGCATTATCGCCCCTAAAAATGCTGCTTAATGGTTAAAATACTGCTTTCATCCAGTAGGTAGCAGGTTTGAACTTCGCTTAACCTACAGCAAAATAATATTACTATCCTCCATACAAAGTGTAAGTGCATAAAATAATATTCAATATACAACTATCAGTATAAATAATTGTCTAGCAAATAAACTTATTGGCTCCCATTGTCTATCAATCGGAATCGGTGTTTCTAATCATTTGTTTTAGGCTAATTTTATACCCTTTCATGTATCATTGATGAAATAAAAAGATACAGCTTATGGTGTCACGATACATCTTGGCAACCTTTGTAAGATTTCTTTATCATATATTAATGAACATAATGAGTGTCCATTGCAATGTCAACGTAATGAACGAACAACTGAAGTTATGAAAACTTTGTGAATATTATGGTATAAAATTTTGATTAACTTTAAGAATAGAACCCATTTGTAGCAACACTCAGTCACATATTTGCTTCCATTGTTTAAAATATCCCTGGAAGTGGTCGGAAGTCAGACCCCTTAGGTTTTCCATTGTTTCAGTATCATCTTACATTTCTTATGTATTGGGCATTTGAGTATTCCTAATGATGTTTAGGACTGCAATAGGAAATTAACTCAAATACACGACACAATTTTTCCGAAAGCCCACTTTAATTAGGAACTATTCGTGATTCTCACTCCGACAAATTAATGTTATAAAATCGATATACTGTAGTCGAAACGCAGATGAATGAATATTTGGTCTTAATTAAAGGATTTTGAGCCAAATCAACAATCAATGTTATAAAATCGATATACTGTAGTCGAAACGCAGATGAATGAATATTTGGTCTTAATTAAAGGATTTTGAGCCAAATCAACAATCAATGTATATAGAGACTAAAATAAATAACGTCAACTGAAACGCTACATAACTAATCAAATAATATAAATTATCTCACTAAAATCTCTCCATTTAAATCATCTTGTTCAGTTGAAACAGATTTTGAACTTGACTTAATTCGACGATCAGCATAAAATGCTTCGACAAATTCCCCATCTCTCGTTGATAATCCGATTCTTTGAATATTATACTGGTAAATCATTTTAAAATATAAACAAATGAATCATTTATAAAAACAAACTTTACAACAAATGATGAAAAAATAAGTAAAATAAATACTATATATATATATATATATATATATATATATATATATATATATGCCACTAAAAGAAAATACTCATTCGGATATAAGAACCCAACGACAATTAGAGTTCCAGAAATATTGAGACTACTGTATCAAGGCATTGTAGAACTTAGTCTCATCTGGTAACAACTTAGGTTGCCGCACAGATAAGTACAAATACTAAGAACCATAAGAAAAATATGAGAGACTAAAATCAAATAGCATTCAACAATCGTGAAACAGATTTTAGACAATAATAAGATGAGTAACATAGTGAACCAATGAAGACCATTAAACGACCATCAGAAAATGTTCTAAAGGACGAATGCATATTATTGGTTAAGAAATAACATCATAAAAATACGAACTTCAACAATTACTTAAAAACTATTATAGCAAATCAGCAAACAAATGAAAATTTATTATTTTATTGAACTGTAGCTTGATATTTGCTATTTTTTGTTTGTCTCCACCTTACTAGCAAATTACTGTGATATGTAGTACTGACTTGCAAATAAAAAAAATGCACTGACGAAATACATATTAACCGGCTACAGTAAAGCTATTTCAACAAATCAAAAATAGATGTAAGGATAAGGCAATATGAAATAATCGAAAAGACGATAGCTCACCTTTTGCTGCAATCTACTTCGAGCATCTAATCGAGCTTTGACTATTGTTAAAAAGCATAGAAAAAAGGTGTTGTTATGAAATAAATATATTAAAGAATATTACTATGACTACATTAAAGACGTATTACCACATTTAATTATCAAACTCAAAGACACTAAAGACGTTTGTGCTGATAAAAAACACCACTTATTTTCCTTGCGTACATGGTGAGTACTATCATGGTCTAAAACTGACCAGCACGTATAAACGACCTTTGAGTAACGAATACACAACAAAGAGGAAGATGTTTCTCTGTGCTTGACGATTTGGCCCAATTCTAACTAGCCCTGAGAACAGAGCAAGAACATATGTTCAACGATCACCAGTCCAAGATTATATATATATATATATATATATATATATATATATATATATATACACACAAAGAACTACAACACTAATGATGGAAAAACGGGGTAACGGGTACACAAATAACCGATTCTAGTTTATGAATGGAAAATCATGTAGCATTAACTTACGGTTCAAATGAAAGCTAGGAACTAGAGTAATCCGAAAATAATAAGACTGAAAAACTCAATCAATATGAAATCAGTACATCCGAATAGAATAATATCAGGAAACTAAAAGGTAACTGGCAAAACGAAAGTCGAAATACTGATGATATGAGTGATAGAGACAAATCGTAAAATAATTGAAATCAGGGAACGAATGTATCTGTACCATTGAGATTGCTCTCGATCCACGCTTCTCGTGGTCCAGAAGTGAAATCGTTACGAGTGACGATTTAACTCGGAGGCAACAAACCTTCGCAATTACGTTTCTAAGGGTTTATTTGTACGTAATGATTTCATATTTATTATTTCATCCTTATTATTTTCGGATTACTCGAGTTCCTAGCTTTCATTTGAACCGTAAGTTAATGCTACATGATTTTCCATTCATAAACTAGAATCGGTTATTTGTGTACCCGTTACCCCGTTTTTCCATCATTAGTGTTGTAGTTCTTTGTGAATATATATATATATATATATATATATATATATATATATATAATCTTGGACTGGTGATCGTTGAACATATGTTCTTGCTCTGTTCTCAGGGCTAGTTAGAATTGGGCCAAATCGTCCTCCTTGTTGTGCATTCGATACTCAAAGGTCGTTGATAAATGCTGGTCGGCATATAGGGCATAACAAAAGACATCTTATTAGGTGTACTGATGTATGAAGACAATAGATGTTTCCTTAAAGAACTAGAATGTGTTTACTTTTATTTTGAGCCAACACGGTTTGTCCCAGCCTCTAAACAAATTAACTAACCTATTTTTCTCGGGTTACTCACACGTCTTTCCACCATGCTAATTATTTGCTTACGTCCTACCTCAACGTTGTTTTTATTCGAGTATGTGTGTGAGTCGCTTACTTCGCTTATTACATATGTCAAGCTTATTTTTGTCTGACTACAAATGCTTAGTCATGCCTGATTTCATGGCGTTGGCTAGTTCACCTTCTCCACTTTGCACTGCTTTAAAGCTTGGAATTCTCATGTCTGTCAGCACAAACGGTTGCTCGAAATAAACCCATCCGACGGCAACCGCAGTTGGTTTCTCATTACCGCCGTCGCACAAAGGGGGTCCGCCTAAACATGATGTACGGGAGCAGAAAGGAATATTTATTTCATCGTATACTCGATCATTCATAAATATTAGAGGCATAATGGAATATTAAAATGGTAAGCCCTACTTCGAATTCAACGTAGCACATTAAAAGCCAGCATCTGCAGTGATACTGCCTTTCAGCCAAAAAAGGAAGAGATTGAAAAATTTTGCGTTTATGAATGTCGCACCTTGCCTGACCTTCCAACATTTCTATCTCAGAAAGCAATTCCGGGGGCAATAGATTAAAAAATTGACAGAAAAAAGGGTTTGTATGAACGGCTGCAGGTAACTGTTCCTTAGGGTCGGCGATCATGCTTCTACATCGGTATGACCACAACAAATCCATTTTCTCATTCAGGTTCCTCAGGAAGATATATCCTTTAACAGTATGGACACATCTGGGAAGTGAAAACTGCCTTTATACCTATGAAAGCACTAGAGATTCTCTTATTAACAATCAAACCATTTTGTCACTCAATATTCCCCTGCAGGATGCTCACCTCTCCAGTCCAAACGTTTATTATTGGCCTTGTGTTACTCGCAGATGGTTTACTGTGCCGTTTCATCTCCTATTTTCTACGGTTCTCTCATAACTTCTAATGGTCTAGCCGGGTATCTCTGTTACCGCAAAACGGTGATTTCGCGGCTTACAATCATACTGGTCCACTTATAACCGAAGTTAGGTCACGCGTGTTCTCTCATTTCCCCGTGTGCATCAAACATTTTTTTGTGACCTTGTCGTTCAAGTTCAGCATTCTCAATTTGGCTGTTCCGTGAGAAGAGCATGTGTATTATTCGTGAATATGATTCATGTGTCGACCTGGGGATAGTGTAGTGTATACTCCATCACTGTAACTATTAATGTTCACCGACCCATCATATTAGGGACGTAAAATCGTTATCTAGCACATGTGCAGTGTATATAGTCACGTTGGGAAATCTCTTCTCAAACAACAAGCATATTCGGCACGGTGAAAGCTGGCATAGTCGAAAAGAGATAGTGAAGGATGTCTTCTACGTGTTTGCTCATCTGTGTCTTGTGTGCTAGTAAGGAATATTTTTAACAGATACTAGGTGCTTGTGTGTTAACCTAATATGGTTTACAGTATGATATAGTCACTAACCCACCTATTGTTTGTTGTGTATCTGCCAACAATTTGTCGTGTGACCCTTAGAATATAGACGTTGATGTCTCAAAACCAGGTTTGTTATGGTGTGCGGATTAGCACGGTTGGCGACGGCGGTATACTCTTCGGCTTAACATTTGTGACAAGTTGTATTACAGATCCGGTGTGATCTCTCGGTTTTTTAGGGGTGCTGTGGGTTATATTATCGAAGTGAATACCGGTCTTTTCTGGTGGTTGTTGGATACACTGAAATTTTGTTACTTTTACCAAGTATTGCTCTTGTTCTTCATCTGATATAATTGATATACATAGGTTCTCTCCCTAAGTTTGCTGCAGGGGAATATTGAGTGACAAAATGGTTTGATTGTTAATAAGAGAATCTCTAGTGCTTTCATAGGTATAAAGGCAGTTTTCACTTCCCAGATGTGTCCATACTGTTAAAGGATATATCTTCCTGAGGAACCTGAATGAGAAAATGGATTTGTTGTGGTCATACCGATGTAGAAGCGTGATCGCCGACCCTAAGGAACAGTTACCTGCAGCCGTTCATACAAACCCTTTTTTCTGTCAATTTTTTAATCTATTGCCCCCGGAATTGCTTTCTGAGATAGAAATGTTGGAAGGTCAGGCAAGGTGCGACATTCATAAACGCAAAATTTTTCAATCTCTTCCTTTTTTGGCTGAAAGGCAGTATCACTGCAGATGCTGGCTTTTAATGTGCTACGTTGAATTCGAAGTAGGGCTTACCATTTTAATATTCCATTATGCCTCTAATATTTATGAATGATCGAGTATACGATGAAATAAATATTCCTTTCTGCTCCCGTACATCATGTTTAGGCGGGACCCCCTTTGTGCGACGGCGGTATTGAGAAACCAACTGCGGTTGCCGTCGGATGGGTTTATTTCGAGCAACCGTTTGTGCTGACAGACATGAGAATTCCAAGCTTTAAAGCAGTGCAAAGTGGAGAAGGTGAACTAGCCAACGCCATGAAATCAGGCATGACTAAGCATTTGTAGTCAGACAAAAAATAAGCTTGACATATGTAATAAGCGAAGTAAGCGACTCACACACATACTCGAATAAAAACAACGTTGAGGTAGGACGTAAGCAAATAATTAGCATGGTGGAAAGACGTGTGAGTAACCCGAGAAAAATAGGTTAGTTAATTTGTTTAGAGGCTGGGACAAACCGTGTTGGCTCAAAATAAAAGTAAACACATTCTAGTTCTTTAAGGAAACATCTATTGTCTTCATACATCAGTACACCTAATAAGATGTCTTTTGTTATGCCCTATATGCCGACCAGCATTTATCAACGACCTTTGAGTATCGAATTTTTTTTAAGGAGGACGATTTGGCCCAATTCTAACTAGCCCTGAGAACAGAGCAAGAACATATGTTCAACGATCACCAGTCCAAGATTATATATATATATATATATATATATATATATATATATATATTCACAAAGAACTACAACACTAATGATGGAAAAACGGGGTAACGGGTACACAAATAACCGATTCTAGTTTATGAATGGAAAATCATGTAGCATTAACTTACGGTTCAAATGAAAGCTAGGGAACTCGAGTAATCCGAAAATAATAAGGATGAAATAATAAATATGAAATCATTACGTACAAATAAACCCTTAGAAACGTAATTGCGAAGGTTTGTTGCCTCCGAGTTAAATCGTCACTCGTAACGATTTCACTTCTGGACCACGAGAAGCGTGGATCGAGAGCAATCTCAATGGTACAGATACATTCGTTCCCTGATTTCAATTATTTTACGATTTGTCTCTATCACTCATATCATCAGTATTTCGACTTTCGTTTTGCATTTTACCTTTTAGTTTCCTGATATTATTCTATTCGGATGTACTGATTTCATATTGATTGAGTTTTTCAGTCTTATTATTTTCGGATTACTCTAGTTCCTAGCTTTCATTTGAACCGTAAGTTAATGCTACATGATTTTCCATTCATAAACTAGAATCGGTTATTTGTGTACCCGTTACCCCGTTTTTCCATCATTAGTGTTGTAGTTCTTTGTGTGTATATATATATATTATATATATATATATATATATATATATATAATCTTGGACTGGTGATCGTTGAACATATGTTCTTGCTCTGTTCTCAGGGCTAGTTAGAATTGGGCCAAATCGTCAAGCACAGAGAAACATCTTCCTCTTTGTTGTGTATTCGTTACTCAAAGGTCGTTTATACGTGCTGGTCAGTTTTAGACCATGATAGTACTCACCATGTACGCAAGGAAAATAAGTGGTGTTTTTTATCAGCACAAACGTCTTTAGTGTCTTTGAGTTTGATAATTAAATGTGGTAATACGTCTTTAATGTAGTCATAGTAATATTCTTTAATATATTTATTTCATAACAACACCTTTTTTCTATGCTTTTTAACAATAGTCAAAGCTCGATTAGATGCTCGAAGTAGATTGCAGCAAAAGGTGAGCTATCGTCTTTTCGATTATTTCATATTGCCTTATCCTTACATCTATTTTTGATTTGTTGAAATAGCTTTACTGTAGCCGGTTAATATGTATTTCGTCAGTGCATTTTTTTTATTTGCAAGTCAGTACTACATATCACAGTAATTTGCTAGTAAGGGGGAGACAAACAAAAAATAGCAAATATCAAGCTACAGTTCAATAAAATAATAAATTTTCATTTGTTTGCTGATTTGCTATAATAGTTTTTAAGTAATTGTTGAAGTTCGTATTTTTATGATGTTATTTCTTAACCAATAATATGCATTCGTCCTTTAGAACATTTTCTGATGGTCGTTTAATGGTCTTCATTGGTTCACGATGTTTTTCATCTTATTATTGTCTAAAATCTGTTTCACGATTGTTGAATGCTATTTGATTTTAGTCTCTCATATTTTTCTTATGGTTCTTAGTATTTGTACTTACCTGAGCGGCAACCTAAGTTGTTTCCAGCTGAGTCTAAGTTCTACAATGCCTTGTTATAGTACTCTCCATATTTCTGGAACTCTAATTGTCGTTGGGTTCTTATATCCGAATGAGTATTTCTTTTAGTGGCATATATATATATATATATATAATATATATATATATATATAGTATTTATTTTACTTATTTTTTCATCATTTGTTGTAAAGTTTGTTTTTATAAATGATTCATTTGTTTATATTTTAAAATGATTTACCAGTATAATATTCAAAGAATCGGATTATCAACGAGAGATGGGGAATTTGTCGAAGCATTTTATGCTGATCGTCGAATTAAGTCAAGTTCAAAATCTGTTTCAACTGAACAAGATGATTTAAATGGAGAGATTTTAGTGAGATAATTTATATTATTTGATTAGTTATGTAGCGTTTCAGTTGACGTTATTTATTTTAGTCTCTATATACATTGATTGTTGATTTGGCTCAAAATCCTTTAATTAAGACCAAATATTCATTCATCTGCGTTTCGACTACAGTATATCGATTTTATAACATTGATTGTTGATTTGGCTCAAAATCCTTTAATTAAGACCAAATATTCATTCATCTGCGTTTCGACTACAGTATATCGATTTTATAACATTAATTTGTCGGAGTGAGAATCACGAATAGTTCCTAATTAAAGTGGGCTTTCGGAAAAAATTGTGTCGTGTATTTGAGTTAATTTCCTATTGCAGTCCTAAACATCATTAGGAATACTCAAATGCCCAATACATAAGAAATGTAAGATGATACTGAAACAATGGAAAACCTAAGGGGTCTGACTTCCGACCACTTCCAGGGATATTTTAAACAATGGAAGCAAATATGTGACTGAGTGTTGCTACAAATGGGTTCTATTCTTAAAGTTAATCAAAATTTTATACCATAATATTCACAAAGTTTTCATAACTTCAGTTGTTCGTTCATTACGTTGACATTGCAATGGACACTCATTATGTTCATTAATATATGATAAAGAAATCTTACAAAGGTTGCCAAGATGTATCGTGACACCATAAGCTGTATCTTTTTATTTCATCAATGATACATGAAAGGGTATAAAATTAGCCTAAAACAAATGATTAGAAACACCGATTCCGATTGATAGACAATGGGAGCCAATAAGTTTATTTGCTAGACAATTATTTATACTGATAGTTGTATATTGAATATTATTTTATGCACTTACACTTTGTATGGAGGATAGTAATATTATTTTGCTGTAGGTTAAGCGAAGTTCAAACCTGCTACCTACTGGATGAAAGCAGTATTTTAACCATTAAGCAGCATTTTTAGGGGCGATAATGCCAACTCTTGACCTCATAATTCAATCTGCTTACTTTGTGTCGTATAGTTAAATACAACCACTATGGTTCTCAGTGTATTTCACCAATGCTAATTCAATGATAAGAGAATGGAAGTTTTAAACTCTTGCGGTTTTGAAACATTGTTTTGAGCTTTTTCAGTTAGATAATTATTTCTTACTTTCGTCGAAATACGTGTTTCTTGTTTGTTTAAAGAGTAGTTATTACATGTTTGGAGATACTAAACTGTTATCTGATTGTACTAGAAAAGTGTTAAGTCTTTTGCACATACATTTCATCTTCACATATTATTTAAGAATTTGTTGTTGTGGCTTCGTTTCTCTTTGTTGACCTGCTTTCAAGATAATTCAATGCTATCTATGTAACTTAAGTGTGATATAGTTTCCCTATTTATGCCAGTAAAGAAATTCGGGAGAATTTATAAATGCTTTAGCTATTACTTCAAATCTTTTGTGTTTCTTGCCACAATGTTATGTGTGATTTAAAATCAGTCCATTGATCACTAAAGATTTCTTTGGTTTTTCCGAAAATGTTCTGATATGAAGTTATTTTAAAGAAACACGACAAGCTTGCTTGCCCAATATTTCGTTCTTAGTAACCGAATTAAACATGCAACATGAATCGCAAAAACGTAAACTTGTGTGTGAGTTTGTTTTTTAAACGAATGAATGTGTGCTCTTTGCTGAATATACGTGTCTTTTATGTATTGAGATCACAACCTTAGTCTGGACTTTGCTTAAAGGGATAATCTCGATAAAATCCTGGTTGATACCACGGCAACGATATTTCTTTGGAATTTGCTAGAATCCCTAAACGTTCTGTCCATTTTATCTATGTATGCTTTTTTGTTCATCAAACCTGCACCTCACTTATTTGGTCTGCTTATAATCAAGGTTTTGTCCTTTCTTAGTTTTGTTAAGGCTTTCTGGAGCTGTTTGGATAGTAGATATTTCGTGATACGCTTACTACTCGTGTATTGTTGGCAGCAATCGACTAACGTGGTCTTAAGCCTAACTATATCCTCCAGTTCGGTTTGGATCCAGTCAGTAGTTTGTGAAAACAGATTCTCAAACTGTAAATCAGTATCTGATTGGTTGGTTTTATACTGTTATCACACATTTTAGGCCTAAGGGATAAAGCTTCTAACTGTACTACATCTAGTTCAATATTAGAAAAATTATGGACGCATCGCTTCGGGTCAAAGAAAATTCCATTTCTGGGTTTTCTGTTTTATAAGGCTTTTACTAGTTTTGTCTTTGCTCATATCTACTCTTGTATATCATTTTGATGTAATCCATTTACTGTGACTTAATCTCCAATCGTAGGTTTTAACGAAGTATTTCTTTCCAAGTCACTGATGTTCATTTTTAGAATGCATATTTCATGTGACGCATGTCTTTTAAGTGTTTTTAAATAGGGATAGCTTTCTTTTTACGGAGTAAGGACTTCTCATATTTTTAGGATATCTCTTGGTTTGTATACAATCTATAGTCAATTCCAGGCTCAACATTTCTATTAAATTTGATGGCTAATATTCTATAGAAGATTTTACCACAAAAGCTGAGCTTGTGTAAACATCATTTTCTTCAGCTACATCTATTTGCAGTGGTCATAGTCTGAGTTATAGCAGTGGTAATATTTATGTTGCATTTGCGTAGAGTGGTTTTGTCTTTAATACGGTTTAGGTTTAGTTTTTAAGTGTATCTAGACTTAGCTGATACTTATATTTACTCCTAAAATTTTTTTTCAGGTACTTTGTTGTGAAGGTAATGGTGGTTATCCTGAGATTGGAACTCCTTGGGTCCCCCTTGAACGAGGTTATTCAGTTTTGGGATGGAATCATCCTGGTTTCGGGGAAAGCACGGTAATATTTAATTTGTTTTGATATTTATTTCCTCTCAACTCTTGACATGAATCACGTGATCACGTTTAACTAATTGACTGAAATATCAAAATCACTATGTGAATGTCCCCAGTCCAAAGGCAAATTAAAGTAAAATTGTTCATAACTTACAAACTTGATCCTCTTGTTTTCAACTGACTCATACATTTGTTCGTTTAAAATTCTGTCAAAGGTTATTAAAGCTATAGTTAGCTGACATAAAGTATCATCCTTTTCCTTAATTAAGAATGATTTGATGCTCTAAGCATAATATTTTTCATCAGTTAGACGTGATATAAATTCATTGGTTAGTTGTGTAGACTGATTTAGTTTGGAAGTAGTTTTTACCACGAGCAAACAGTCAAAGAATTACTGAAACTAGGTATCAAAAGTTGCTGCATGTTATATACTCAATGAGTAATCCATGTTATAGTCACCGTGGTTAGTAGAGGTTCATAGTTTCGTTAATTAATTTACCACTCTTTTATAAATTGCAATGGCCATTCACTTGTTGTCCATCCTGCCAGGTCTTTGGGATCAACACTATTACTCATACTTTTTCGTTCATGTTGGTTACACTACTATAATAAGAATAACCTAGCTACTGTAAGCCGTGTTATGTCTTTGATTTGAATAATGACACATCCTCCCAGTAATATTAATCTTTAGTCAGCAGCGGAATTCCTATTGGCTATTCTCTGAGTTGAGTTGAGAAGTCAGGAATCAGTCTATGCCACTTTATATTTTGAGCAAACGTAGTTTATAAACAAGTAAACTAGACCGCATCACACCATATTGTATATATAGTCATCTAGTTACCTAATAATCATACAATAAGAGAATAATAACAATCAGTAAATTAACCCCGGAAGTTATCGTTTCTATAAAATTCTTTCTGACATAACAGTACTAACTAAGCTTTGACTAACTTGTCATTAATCGACTGAAGATACTATTTTGATTTCTAAACATTAAATTGGCTTTTAACCTAACTTGCTGGGTAAAATTCTCTTCTACATTGTAGTCTTGATAATTATTTCTAGGCTGAAGAAACCTTAATATGGTGTTCCCCTCTAAGGTTGTTAATTTTTGTTTGACATTTTCTTTTACTGAAGTCTTACCATTATTTTAAAGGGTTTACCATTCCCGGAAAAGGAACAAAATGCTGTTGAAGCATGCTTTTTATTTGCTGTACATCGATTAAATTTTCAACCTAGTCAAATATATGTACTTGGTTGGTCAATTGGTGGCTATACAGCATCTTGGATAGCTATGAACTATCCTGATATAGCCGGTTTGGTGAGCCAATTACTGAATGTTATATTTTGTTTCTTCTATTTTGCATGATATATGTTAATTCTTTGTTTATCCGTCACGAATTGGTAATTTTATTCCAATTTATTTAAATTCGTACTTTTGATAATAACTCATGAATTAATTGTAAGTTGTTTGAGTGGCTATCTTTTTGTAATGCTGTAAATTACAGATAACCATTCACCTTGTATCTCTTAAGAATAAATTCACCTTTTATCCTGACGTATTCGAATATATGCCTACACATAAACATATGCGCATACTTATTCAGTGACCTAAATTTATGAAACTGGCTTGTGACGGGAATTGAATGTATTCTTAGTTACTGCTGTGCGTTCATCGTCCTGAATTTACACAGAGAATTTTCTTCTGAAATCACCAACCTTGTGTCAGAGTTTCGTTTTCTTAGCTGAATTTGGTACTTCTACCTGAACTTCTCTGCGTATGTTCAATTAGTTAAGGGTTAGAGATTTTCTTTTAGTTTGTTAGCGAACTAACCGTTCTAGTTGAGAAAACTTCTTAACATCCAAATGCAAAGACGGATTTAGTAGGGGAATTAGCGATTCCCATATTCCCGGGTCTTTTATGTCACAAAGTCATGATCACCAACATTCAAACCTATGTATAACTGTGTTTCCGTATGTTGTAGGTAAAATAAAATTCATTCCTTCACCGTTGACATACGACGTATTCTCTGCTCATGTAGAGTAAATTAAGAGATAAAACTCATACAAAAGTAGATGGAGTGAGGCTCAAACTTCCCACATAATGTTTGAAAGTTGTATGGTTTAAGCGCTGAATTATGGCTCTGTATAAAGGTGGTTTTAATAGTGGCTTTACGTAGTGATAATATTAGTGTCTGTCCAAACCTTGTAATCAATTCGAAAAATCTTATCTTTTTCAAATTTGCTTTAAAAATTAGGTTTTGGATGCTACTTTCGATAATATAGACGAACTGTCCAGACGAGTTGCACCATCTGTATTTGGTAAGTTGCGCTCTCAATGGCTGTTAGCAGTTAACAAAATAGATATTAGAAATTATTATTACTTATAAGTAGTTTGAAATTCACCTGTGAATATTCGTCACAGTGGCTGACCAAGTTAATTCTGTAATCTATCTATACTTTATTTATTTGAAGATGAGAATAATCCTAGATGTTACACCTCATTATAGTCATATACGTAATACCGAGGAAAAAAGCAGCTTAATAGCCTCAATATTTAGTAAGCAATGACTTATCACGATCGCGTTATTAAACATATATTCTTATTTTTCTTTACGATACGAAATGCCCCAGTGTATACATTATATTTTTTGTGTATATGCTTTCGACTCTTTTGAGCAGATAATGTAATGATACTTGTCTATCGTGATGCCTCAACCGTGCTATATTGGCTGGAACATATGTTCCTTTAGGTTCTACCACGGCAGGCAGTTAGATTGGAGAACGGTGAGACTAAAATCAGCAACTCGGGGCTTGAGGGCGACGTCATACTGCTGTCTGCAGAGAGGTGTGGCAACAGTAGATGCTTCGCTCGGACAACCATCATCTGCAGTGATGCTGCCTTCTCAAAGAGATGGAGGTGGTTAGAAATGGTTGATCCTGAGAATGTTACATCTTAGCTTGCATCACGGATTTCCGTCTACGAAGGTAAAACCACTTGAAGAGGCGACCTGACACTTGAACAACCTGCCATAAAAAGAGTATGCGTGACTGGACTCAAGCAGTCTTCCTTTATGCTATGCGATCACGCACCAAGGTCGCTCAGGACAAATGCTGACTTGATTTCTTTTTCAGGTTCCTCAAAAAGTACCCTTCGACAGTGTAAGCAGCCTATAAGTAACATCCGCCCTCATACCCGTAAAATCACACGGGATCACATTGGTAACAACCAAATCCCTATACGTCTAATAACTCCATAATCTCCACGTCTAACCCTTCTTTTGTTCCCTTTATCACCTCCGCAACTAATGCAAACGTTTCAAGCCTACGAAAACCGTTCTAAGCTACATATTGCAGGTCTTATTGTTCGAATCTTGTGTTAACTATTGCAAAAGGCTTCATTAGCTGGGACTCTGGAAACCAGCGCCATCGCTGTGTGTTGTATCTCCGAAATGTTCATACTGGATCCTAGTATAATCACTAATTTCACTTCATCTTATCCAGCTATAGAATCAACTCGGTTTACGCTTCATGTTTTTGGAATTACTGACGCTGTATCCCGTTGCCTCGCTGGTGTAGGTATAGTATTAAGTCATATTGCAGAACTAGCTATCATAGACTGGATCACGGCAGACAGTCCCTTATGCGCAATCCGACTAAACGGGACATTAAGGACTCATAAAACACAAACACACATTCAAGTGTCTGGCAACAGTTTCATTCCTCGACCTTAATGCAGCATTCGACCCTGTTGGTTGTGAGGTCGTGTCACAGTGTTGGTCATTGAAAGGTGTACCAAAGAAATACGTGAACCTTATGCAACCTCTCTACTCGAACACCACTGGTCGATTGGGAGATTACGGCGAACTGTCATGGTGTCCGTCAGGGCTGTTCACTTTCTCCATTCTTGTTTACCTTTGCCATTGAAATGCTTTTAGATACGTCACTTTCATCGTCTAACTTTACAGGAGTTGGACAACTACCCGGGGATTCACTTGTTGACATAGAATATGCCGATGACAATGTTCTATTTGGCGAAGACGCTGGAGAAATGCAGTCTTTGACCACCTTGGGCATGTTCGGGATGCAATTCTCTCCCTCGAAATGCAAAATGTTGCCTCTCGATTGGCCTGCGTCTGAACCTGAACAAGTGATAGGAAGTGGACCAGTTGACCGGGTTGACCACACCACTTATCTCGGGAGTCTCATCAGTGCCGATGGCCTGGTGACTGACGAGATCTTAGCACGAATATAGAATGCTCGACTGGCTTTTGATAACTATCTATCTTAGTGAATTGTATTTGAATTATATTTTCGAACCCTAATTTCTACGAATACTGCTAATACTTCTACTCATTCTACCACAATGGGATTTGAACTGACGATTGCGTCACTGTGCTAATGTGGTATGTCAACCGGAGCCGATGCACGTACGTACGCAGTCCTACTTTGTATCTGACTGCATTACTTACTTGAGCATTATTATATGCTAACCTGATGATGTTATGCTGTGTAGACATCTTACTATCATACGATTTTTTAATCTATGCGACTTTATTCAAACCTGAATTTACTTTTACTCGTTTGTCCTAGTTTATACTTAAAGAGCCTTTACTATCGAATTAATGGTTTGTTCAATAAGTCTGAAAGTGTCTATGATTTACTGAAGTAATTAGTTTTATTATCCCAAGTTCGATTTTACGATCGTTATACATTAAAAAATGCGTGGGTACTTATTAACCTTTTAGGTGTCAGTAAGACTCAACGACTAATGATCACCAAATTAAATTGCATATGTCTTTCAAAAATCCAAAATGGCGATTTGGTTTTCATATGGGCTGCTTTGTGTTGAAGTGAATCTCCTAAAGTTAATGGTTCCTAGATTTCTATAGGTTCAGGTGTAGAGGTCTTTCTATCAGTCCATCTCTTTAGTCAACAAATTTCGGCATTGACTTAAGTACGTAATGGATCTTAGGGTTGTTTGTTTTCTCAAAAGTATCTGAAGCACGTTCAGAGTTAATTCGGTTTAGACTTCTCATCATCTGCTCGCCGAATGTGCAGCAGCATTGAGTTATCGTTCCTAAGAACATATCTATTGAGTAATTTTTGTTTTTGAATTTTCATTGCTATAATTAGAGTTTCTTTTTAGATCCAGTTTTGGAATCTGTCGTTAAAATGTATTTGGATCTAAACAACCTATCCCATGTGATCAAGTGAGTTATTATTTGTTTTGTAGTAGGTTTACCAATTAAATGTGTTGTTCCCGGTGTTAAGCACCTATTTCATAAAAGTCCTGGAAACTGAAGTAGGTCTCGCGGACTCCAACCAGCTAGTCCAGACCCACTGACATGTCTCAGTCCAGTTGTCAGCGAATTGATTGACTTGTGACATGTTTTGGTTTGACCGCCTCTAGCTTTATTCCAACCTACCCCTACATTAGACAACATGGCTGGACGAGGCAGTCGGTGATTGGTCATTCGTAACACATATCCCAACAACCTCGACTGACGAAGATTCACTACTATCATCCTTAATCCAGTACGCGTTTCCTAACCCTAGCACTGCTCACTCGGAGATCCCAGGATACACGAGCATCGGCACTGATGAGACTCCCGAGATAAGTGGTGTGGTCAACCCGGTCAACTGGTCCACTTCCTATCACTTGTTCAGGTTCAGACGCAGGCCAATCGAGAGGCAACATTTTGCATTTCGAGGGAGAGAATTGCATCCCGAACATGCCCAAGGTGGTCAAAGACTGCATTTCTCCAGCGTCTTCGCCAAATAGAACATTGTCATCGGCATATTCTATGTCAACAAGTGAATCCCCGGGTAGTTGTCCAACTCCTGTAAAGTTAGACGATGAAAGTGACGTATCTAAAAGCATTTCAATGGCAAAGGTAAACAAGAATGGAGAAAGTGAACAGCCCTGACGGACACCATGACAGTTCGCCGTAATCTCCCAATCGACCAGTGGTGTTCGAGTAGAGAGGTTGCATAAGGTTCACGTATTTCTTTGGTACACCTTTCAATGACCAACACTGTGACACGACCTCACAACCAACAGGGTCGAATGCTGCATTAAGGTCGAGGAATGAAACTGTTGCCAGACACTTGAATGTGTGTTTGTGTTTTATGAGTCCTTAATGTCCCGTTTAGTCGGATTGCGCATAAGGGACTGTCTGCCGTGATCCAGTCTATGATAGCTAGTTCTGCAATATGACTTAATACTATACCTACACCAGCGAGGCAACGGGATACAGCGTCAGTAATTCCAAAAACATGAAGCGTAAACCGAGTTGATTCTATAGCTGGATAAGATGAAGTGAAATTAGTGATTATACTAGGATCCAGTATGAACATTTCGGAGATACAACACACAGCGATGGCGCTGGTTTCCAGAGTCCCAGCTAATGAAGCCTTTTGCAATAGTTAACACAAGATTCGAACAATAAGACCTGCAATATGTAGTTTAGAACGTGTGTCTGTGTTTTAGGACCTGACGATGGGTGAATATGCGGTCTATTCATCTGCCTTCAGGTCTGAAACAAGCCTGATTTTCTCTCGTCTGCTTCCTATGAGGTTTAGTTAAACTTGGAATCTATATTGACGCTAATATTCTCGTTGACTTTTCTGTTATTTTCACAATGGGACTTTTGTCCTTTCTTATAGTTTCGGACTGTTAGTGAATGAATCCAGTAGTCGAATGGGTTTACGTCCGGCTCCCATAATTTAGCTTAGGTTTCAGTCAACCTAGCTGCTAAAACTGGACCACTGTCCTGCAAAATCTCAGGAGCTAACCTATTCGTTTCTGCTGTTCTGCCTAGCCTCAGATTTCCTAAGCCTTTTCCACCTCATTGAGAGACGGATCACTTATATCAACTTGCCATTGAGGTTGACTGGTGATCGTGTGTAAGGAAAGTGTAGCTGAAGGCCACTTGAACCTCTCCCTTAAGTGTTTTGTCCATCGATTCAATCTCCTGGAGTGACAATGAATAATGTGCCCATGTTTTCTGGAGAGAGTGACGCTATCATTCGGATTTCTAATACCAGTTTCTTTGATATATGGCGGAACAGTTTGCCAATGAACTGGCATAGATACTTTACATGAGACCATTTTGTACCAATTCATAGTCATGAAACCATATTTTTGAAACGAGAAGACACGCTTTGGCTAAATGTTTTTGATCATAGGTTTCTTGAATTAGGTAGAATGGCTGAGATAGCTAGTCTGATGTTGGACGTGGGGTTATTTACTTGGTTAATATGGGTAATCAGCTGAAGAGGTCATGGAAACTGTTGAGCATAATACCTCGAGATCGACTGCTAGCAGAAACGTTTTCTAAAACTTGTAATTAACATGCATAAATTTAGTCTATGCTTCAACCGTTTCCATTAAATAAGATTATTTATTATTATTATTATTTATTTATAATAAAATCAGTGGTAACAGATACAAGTAATTATGAATGGTAATACTAAAAATATTTTTTAGATTAATTGCTTATATTTTAAAATGTTCCCACCTTTTATTATTATTATGAATCATAATAATAATAACCATTATTAATAATAGTAATGTAAGTCTCTGTTTAATGATCGTCTTATATTCATTTTCTCTCCTTTATATCAAATCGAGTTACGATGGTCCAGTGCTTATTATTCGCCGTAGTGATGATGAAGTTATCAGCACTGGGTAAGTGACAATGGTTTTCATTGTTTTTTGAAGTTTATACTTTCCAAAGTGTGAAAAATCATAAATTGTTCTTACTGATTTTTCACTAATTAATGCTAATAGGTTTTTTATACAAATTTTTCAAATATAATCAGTTGTCTACTTTTTTTTACGAATTATATTTATAAGCAAAATTGTTGCAATTTAAATACCAAGGTTAACTCCACACAAAAAAATTGTGGATGCAGAAAATTTTGTAACGGATACATTCAAGTCATCGATATTGTCTTCATATTACACCTAAATAGTAAGTTCAATAACTAACTATGATCATATCGCCTCTCCCACAATTAGTCATTTTAAGTATATTAAATTGAACCATAAGCCCCTTCACAACCTGTGACATAACTGATCTCTATCTGCTTCAACTAAACAAATTTAAAATCGATGGATATTAGTTTTATAAAACATTTGAAATCCTTTTCTTATCGTTATTGTTCAAAGCGATCTTGAAACTTGGTAGATAAGTTTTATTGGTGAAATTGTCGGTAGTCATGATTACTAAATTTTTTATCCGCGTTGTTTTAGGCACATGATCCATTCGTGATGATTTCATTGTCTTTCTGAACATCATCATCGGCACTAACCTCGAGCAGTATGTATGTGATCATAACATGTTCATGTTTAAATCATCTATGTCTGAAATTAGAAATTGTCCAGAATCCTCTTCCCAAGCTTGTTAATTTCCATGTCTTCACAAGTATTGTTTTACTTCTAATATATGCAGTTAAATTACATTTGTGAAGGTTCCAATTGTTTTACTGTATGGTTATTTATATTTACTGTAGAACTGAATTATTGCTATCAATTGATAGAATAGTTTTGAATAACTTCTAGTATCAGTGTTTACTACTGAATATAAATGTATCATAGAAAACTTTCTAATATCTCTTTCACTTTGTATTGTTTTCTCACGTTATAACAGGGAAGATCATTCACGTGCAACTAACAGAGGCAATTATTTATTGATTGGTCTATTAAAACATCGGTATGTTTAAAAAAAAACCATATATTACTAAGTCGAAATCAGACTTTTAGTCTTAGTTGAATATGTGCATAGCCAATAACTTTGAAATGATTTTTTTATTCGAAACATTAACCAAATTACTATATTAATAGATTATCAATCGATCATCACAATGAGTTTTTTATATTGGTGTTATTTTCAAGTTCGTGGTGGTGTTTTGTTCTCTGAGCTGGTTGTTTTGGTTGTGGAGCTTTCATTGTTCTTCTGAACAACATCATCAGCACGAACTTCAGATAGAAGTGAAGCATTAGAATTTCTCCACGTTTGGCCTGTAGCTTGTTCTGCTGACCTCGATCTTGATTGGTTGTTGTTGACATTTGACCTGTCGTTGTTTGCAACTATGTTTTGATTGCCTCCCTCTTTTGATCTGTTTCTTGATCTAGTGTCACCTATGATTTTCCTGATTGGTTGATAAATTGGGTCAATGTCGATGTGTTTGTTGATTGCTAATTGACCTGAGTGCCAAGCTTCTAAAAATTCTCTAGTGTTCTTTGTCCTCCCCCTACCTAGTATTTCCACGTTGTTCCAATCAAATGTGTGTCCATAATTGTCGGTGTGTATTGATATAAGCGAAGCCTTGTCGTGGCGTTTGACTGCTAATTGATGTTCACGTAAACGGAGCTGAAGAGGTCGTCCACTTTGTCCTATGTAGTGTTTTTCACAATTTGAGCAATTTATTTTGTAGATGATATTTGGTTTTTCTTCCTTTGTCATTTTGTCCTTTGGTCTACATAGGATTGACTGAAGTGATTCCGTTGGTTTGTGTGCCACACCTATTCCAAATGGTTTCAGTAGTCGTGCCGTATGCTCTGATATGTCTTTGATGTATGGTAGGATGATGCGTTTATTTGTTCCTGTGCTTGATTTCACTCCTGATGATAGTTTTGGTTGATGTTTTTTGATGAAGTTGCGTGGATAGCCGTTCTTTTGGAAGATAGTCCTCAGATGTTTTTCCTCGTTTTTTAATGTTTCGTATGTGTTGCAGTGTGTCTTCGCTCTCTTGAACAGAGTTTGTATGCAGTTGATTTTGTGGGTTCTTGGGTTGTTGCTGTCGTAGTTGAGAATTACACTACATAGGACAAAGTGGACGACCTCTTCAGCTCCGTTTACGTGAACATCAATTAGCAGTCAAACGCCACGACAAGGCTTCGCTTATATCAATACACACCGACAATTATGGACACACATTTGATTGGAACAACGTGGAAATACTAGGTAGGGGGAGGACAAAGAACACTAGAGAATTTTTAGAAGCTTGGCACTCAGGTCAATTAGCAATCAACAAACACATCGACATTGACCCAATTTATCAACCAATCAGGAAAATCATAGGTGACACTAGATCAAGAAACAGATCAAAAGAGGGAGGCAATCAAAACATAGTTGCAAACAACGACAGGTCAAATGTCAACAA